TACCGAAGCTTTGTTGTCTCAAATTCCGTGACTGTGAAATCTTCACAGCGACAGCAAACGCTTAGGTAAGAGAACGCATATTTAAAAGCTTATTTTCTTCCAGGAAATAGTAACGGGCCACTTGAGTAATAAATACAACTAGAGCGTAGCCAAGGGTCCTAACAATATTACGGGAGAAATAAAAGTACACCAAGCACTATGGGTTTTGCCATCAATGTCACTTTTCCCTGCTCAGCTACCCGTGCTTGGGGTTCCAGCCTAGTCTTGACCAAGCCCACCTTCCCACCTGGGACATATTTCCTCGAGGGCCCTTCATGGGTGATTTGCAGGTACCTAATGTCCCTAAGGCTACCAGCCCCATCCACAACCCATTGTAAGTTCTGAAGACAGAAAATCAGGGCGGGGGGGGGGGCAGCGAGGGAAGATTTAGGGAACAGCATAAAATAGGCAGAACTAAATGAGGCTCTTGGAGAGACGGTAAGCTGGCTCAGACAACGGGCCTCGGGGCTTTTGGAAGGCCCCTTGTTAGTGTGGGATGGAGGGAGAAACGCAGGTGAAAGAGGGAAATGAGGAGGGAGCGAAGCTAGGCTTCTCTTCTGTGTACTTTCTGGCCAAGGGGAGAGACATCCTCTGGTGGATGTAAAGCTTTGGTTGTACTAAGCATTGAATGTCAGAGCCAAAAATACAAAGGTTCCTCCTTCGGTTTGTTGTATTTCTCTCTGAATTATCCAAGTCACCCCCTAACACTGCACTTCCCACCCCCGACCCCAAACCCATACGCTAATTCCTGCCCCACCAGGTCTCTGGTGCCAGACCACCACCCCTGCCCACCCCACCTCTGCTCCTGAAGGCTGTGCTTCTGTGGCTGCAGCCCCCCACTGTCTGGAGAGGCCGAGCATCTCCGGAGACCAAACCCTCCGACAGCACGTGGTCACCCGCATGGTCTTTATCCCATCGTAACAGACAAGAATCCCAGATAGACTGTTTCCCTCTGGGCCAAACCCACTTTAGAGATCTTTTAAAACACTGCTTCATTCTCTAAGCGTTTTAAAACATATTAGAAACCCGGGGGGAGACCTCCAACCTCTGCAGAAGGCAGGTTTGTGTTTCAGCCTCCCTGCAGCCGGGACTGGGGCTGATTTCCTGCCGATGGGGGATAAGGAGCCTGGGTCTCCAAGTCTGAGGACCCAGGTAGGAGGAGAAACTCTCCCCCCAGGTGAGGGAGGGTGCAGCGCTCGGCCCCAGCACATGCATGTGCGTGACTTCACTGCCGTCCTTTCTGGATGCTACCAGATTTCGTGGGGAGAGAAAGAGCTTGGAAATAAGAGGCTAAAATCCAGGTTTTGGGATGGAGTTTGGAGTTGATGCGACTCCCCAAGCAAAGCAGAAGTGACTGCGGTTAACCAGGGCTCTGAAACCCAGAGCAGAGAGCTCGGGGGGACTTCGGACTCAAATAGAGAGGAGGGTGAGTTGGAAAGAGATTTTATACTCAACTTTGGAAGAAGCCCCAATGCTCAATCAAGCCATGTTTAATGAAAAAAGGATTAAGAGGAGACTCCCAAGTTGTACCTAACTTTCCATAAGTCCTGCTTAGCATGTGTTAAGTAGCTGTTATACTAATTAGCTACACTGATTAATGCTTGTTTCTTTTGTAAAATATTTTTTGAAGGATAACTAAACAGAAAGGCATCGTCATCGTGCCCCCTCAGTTAGACCAGACCACAAGCAGCCTGGATCAGTGGTCCTCCCAGCAGATCACCTGGGAACTTGTTAGAAATGCACTTTCTCCTGCATCAGAAACTCTGGGGTGGGGCCCAGCAACCTGTGATTTAACAAGTCCCCCAGGTGGTCCTGAGGCTGCTCAAGTTTGAGATCCAAGGGCCCACATGCCTGGCTGTGTCATCACGGTCACAGCATCGACGCCCACAGTGGACATTCACCTTCCTTGCAAAGGACTCGGAGGACAAAGGAACTGGACGTCAGGTCAATAAACCCAAACGTCAACAATGATAGAAAGCAACAGGGCCTCACCTCTTCCTTCACTTTTGCAAGGTGGCCTTTGGGGGTCCTTTTGCTCGCTGGTGTGAGATACCGATGTCTCAGGTTTAGGACTCCCTTTAAGGACAGAGTTCTTTCTGATATTTTCCTTCTCTTCCAACTTCAGCCTCAGGGCGGCAACCCTGGAGAGAATTTTCTTCCTCACTCCCTCAGCCAGATGTGCACTTCCTGGGGCTTCCCGCTTCTTCTCCGCCTCCTCTGACCTGGTCACTGCTGGGGTTGCCCTGGGGAAGCCGCCAGCCTGGGACGCCCTGTGGCTGGTCTCCTCCCTCGACTTCTTCCCGCGGCCCAGGGTGCAGCCCTGTTGTCTGGGGTCCTGCAGCATCTCAGGAACCTTCTCTGATGCACATTCTCCAGAAGTGAACGTCGACGTCTCTGCCGGGGAGCCGGGTGTGCTTGTGGGCTTGGCTTCCCCAGCTGGGGGCGCCTCTACTTTTTGTCCCTCAGTTTTGTGGCTTCTGGAAGAGTCTGTGATGCTTCCTTCAGGGGATGGAGTAAAAGACCCCTGAGGAAGACCGCCAACAGGGGGCAAATACTTCCCATGCTCAGTGTCAGTAGCTCCCCTTTCCTTCGAGCCAGAAAATGTGTGTTGCTGGTTTCTGGGCTCCACTACTTCATTCTCAGGGGTGTCGTGCCTTTGACCTGTGGAGCTGTGAGTAGCAACTCCAACGGATGCGGGAGTCATTGCTGCAAGATGGCTAGAAAGAGGTAACGTGGGGGAAAGGAACTCTGCTTTGTGGTTTGCACTTTGTTCAGCCTCCCCTAAGTGCTCCTCACTGACTTGGTTTTGGCTCCTGCCGCGTGCGCTTGGAGTTGTTGCCCGACCTTTGCCAGGACCCGGGACTTGCAAGATGGCAGACTGCATGCCCACCCGTGCCCCGTCATGTCGACCTTGGTCTGCCTCCCCTCTTCCACGGTCCTCTGGGCTCTGGCTGACGCTGTTTTCACTTGGAATGGTTTCCCCACCTTGCTGGGGGCACGGAACTTGCAAGGTGGCAGGCTGGACTTCCACCCTCTGGCCCAAGTTTCCATCATTCAGTTGACTCTGCACTCTCATGCCCCTCAGTGTGGATTTGGAAGGCCCTGGTGTTTCTGCCCTCATCCACTCCATCACCCCTGTTTCACTGACGGGATCTACAGATGACTCTAAGATTTTAGGGCAGGTCAGGGACTGTTTAAGGAAGGCAGGGCCATCCAGCTTGCGTTGGTTTTGACTCATATTAACACTTTCCTTCCTTCCAGTTTTAGAAGTCTCTGAGAACAAGTCTGTGACACATAATTCCTTTTCATCTACCGGATCCACAGAAGACTCCAGAAGTCTGGGTTGGCTCAGATACTGGGAAGACAGACTACTCCACCATGCACTGCTCGCTCGGTCTCTGCTTTCATGGATTCCTCTGTTATTAGCAAGGGCCGGGACAGACTCAGCCCGGGGACTGCAGGCCGACGCTGTTTCAGAGGAATCCAGTTTAGGCACAGCAGCATCTGCCTTCACAACGTCAGATACAGCCCAGGCCCCATCAGGAATCATAAGACCACCTTCCGATTCCTTGCACTTAGCATCTGTCAGTTGTCTTGGTGGCCACGTCTCTGAAATCGATGCCTCTAGAGTTATAATCTTCAGCTTTTTACCTGCTTCCCAGTATCCTGGGACACTCTTTTTAGATGCCTCCAGAAGGCTATCAGAGAGAGGTGGAACACTGCTCAGAGCCAGGCTGTCATCTTTCACGGTGGATTCAGCCACCACAGACACACTGGTCTCCAAACCCAAGCTCTGCCCTCTTTCCTCCCTGGAATTGGCTGATGAGTGGTGCGAGGGGACCAGGTTTATTTCCCCTTGCACAGATGTCGTGGGCAAGCTTTCTTGGAAATTATCTTTAGCAGAACCCTGGTGGGGCTGGCTCTCCTGCTGGAGCCTCTGTGTTGTTTCACTTCCTTTTTCTTGTAAATTCTCCCCAAGACTCCTAGGGTCTGCTCTGTCCCAGGTCTGGCTCCTCCTGCCAGACTGGTCATCCACCTGCAGCAGGGAACTACAGAAACTCTCTCCCTCTGGGAGCTGAGGGACGTGGACACGGACCCCTGGCCCACTGGGAGCCACACAAGGCAGCTCTTTTGACGATTCGAGTGTGGAACTGTTTAAAATACGACCCAATTGTACACTGGAGGGAAGCTGGGAAATACTTTCAACTGGTGCCCAAGGTGAACTCTCCTCAGAGCCATCTGCATGGCTGTTCCCGGCGATTGAAACAGGGAGGTGTTTGGTGCAGTGGACTCTAGTGGCAGTGGGAAAAGTTGAGGTGTCCCCTCTCTCCCCGATGACCTCCAAATGGTCAAGATTAGCAGTTGGTGTTGTTGGCTTCTCCTGCGGAAGCTTCGCTATTGAGTTATGGCTGGCAGGTGCGTCTGCGGTGTCTGGGGCACTGGTACTGGAGCTCTCGTCACTGCCTTCTTTAAACCGTACGTGAGAGTCATTCTCAGAAGATCGAGTCTGTCTTTCCTCAAGCCCCTCTGAGTTCCTGGGGCTCAGCCTCCCCTGGCCAGCCCCTACTGTGGAGGTCAATGTGGAGGTGGAATTCTCCCCCTTGACTAGATTTTCCCCGGTGGCACGTTTACTGGCTTTTTGTGAAATGTCCCAGGTGAAAGTACTGATAAAAAGAGGGGATGTGGCCGAGTGTCTGTCATCGCTGCCTTCACATGTGGACGGCGGCGGCTCAGAACCACGTGTTTGAAAAAGAACATCCAGTGTCTTGTCGTCGGGAGAACATAAATCAGATCCTTGGCTTTGACCTGCCAGCTCTAAGTCCATGGAGCAAATTTCTTGAGGCAAATATTTACCAACTGGGGCTCCAACAGGAGAACCCACGGTATCACATGTTTCATAGTCACCTGCTTCAAGACGCTGTAGCACACAGGCTGCTGCTCTGCCCCTTGGCCCATCAGACACAGTTTCCAGCGTGGGGACGGTATGTGCGAGGTCAGGGGTGGCAACTGAGAAAGCCTGGGGATCCCCGCGGTCAGCCCTGTTCTCTGAGGGGAGGTGCTTTGACAGCGCACAGAGGGGCGTGTTTTCGGTCCTGGCTTCTGGGATGCTCAGCTCACGTCCTCGGTCTCCCGAGGAACGTCTAGGTGTCTTGTCTTCTCTATGTTGACTTTCTCTGTGCTGTGGGCCTTGGGTACCTCTTTCTACCGCCAGGCATTGGGCCAGTGATGCATTTTCCTTATTGATTCCTAAGATGCAGGAGGAGTCTGTTGTGGTCCCAGTAAGTGCAGACTCCGAGAAAGCTGGCGTCCGGCTGAGGAAGACTTGCTCCCTGACCGTTTCCTGACCTCGCACCTAGAAGACGAAGAGTCATATTAATAGAATTGTTCCTGGGAGAGCCCACAATAGGGCATAACTGCAATCCCAAGGGCGTTAATCCTCGATGACTATTAATATCAGACAACAAGTGTAGCAGGAATGATCAAAATCTAACCATTAATCCCCAAACCCTCTAGCTATTAAGAGACTGCCTAAAGAAATGCAAATTTAAGTAACTGTGTGTTCCAGGGAGATCCTTGATCAAATTCCCCATTATAAGCAAAAAGCATCCTGATAATCATTTAGTGATTTTTCTCTCAGGAAATAAATTGCTTGTTAACTTTTTTGATCAAAGTCGCAAGAGTTTGTGTGAATCTTTCCAGAAGGAAACCTCACGTGATCATAAACAAATGAAATACACAGTGCTTGTAAAGTATCCCAGTCTTTGTCCCCCAAGGAGGCCAGCTTGCTGGTTCATTATGTCACTGAAGAACAGAGAGGCAGGACCTTTGAGTGTGCCTCAAAGTAACAGGGTTATGATTGGCCGTCAACGCTGCCAATCACTTCTGCCCAGGAAGGTTAAAATCTTGGACCGCCTCCCCCCAGATGCCCTGTGGCAGGCAAACCATGTCCACAAGAAGTCGAGGGTTCAGGATGGTTTAAGGTTTGGGGAAGAGAGAAAGAGACAGGGAGAGAGACAAAGTGAGGGAAGGAGGAATAAGTCTCACACTGTGAGGACTGAGCCCGTCATGGTGCTATCTCACTGTTTTGTGGGGTTGGATATCATTCAAGGAAGCAAACTCCTTGACTAAATTCTTGCATCTTTAAACTTTTAGCTCAAATTTTTTATTTCAAAAATATCAAGATTACGCCCAGCCAAGGAGAAAAGAATTGCTGCCAGTTTTTGGCAAGCAACTCCACCTTTGCCCCCCAGGACTCCTGCCTTGAAGCAGCCCATTCAAATGAGCCGGAATCGATGACTGGGCTTGAAGAGGGGAGGACAGTCTCTCTCCCCGAGAGAGAGCCGGGGAGGTGGAGCCGGAAGGTTCCTGGGCCCAGTGCAGCTCCAGAGCCCTAAGGCTCATTCCCGTCAATCCCGTGTGAGATCGGTCAGCTCCTTACACACCGCCAGCAGCACACAAGACACCTGCGCGACCACACCTCTCTGCGTTGTGCCAGTGATTCACCTCCCATTTTCTCCTTAAATCTCCCCGGGTGTTCATTTAACTCAGATTTTATTGGCATGAGTGCTAACTGAACAAGAAGTTTAGTATAATATCCTGTGCTATGCACTCCATGAGTGCTGGGACCATACTTCAAGTCAGATATTGGCTGAATACCCTCCACTGTGTTAGTGGGTAGCCCAGGTGATGGACACAATGCAGGCAGATGCCACCTGCAGGGAACTCCCGTTCTGTGTTGTCCTCAAGGCCCGTTGGAGTGGTTAGCACCTAGCACATGCTCAAAGAACCAGGAAACAAGTCACATCTACCCGGCTTCACCCATCAAACCTCTGAGTTTGAAAGCATTTGGGTCTTCATCTGCTCCTGGCCTTTGGGACAACTCGATCTTAAGAGCCATGTTCACATCTCGGTGTTTCCAAAAAGCACTCTTTTACCCCACCATATTAAAAAGGGAAAACAAAGATTTGAGAAATAAGGTTTTTAAAGTGTCCAGGTGTTTAGTGTGTCCCTGGTTTCACCTCTATACCCCAATATCCATCACACATAGAGAACGTTCATTTGCTAGCTTGGTTCAGATTTTGTATAATGAGCTACATAGCACAAATGTGCTGAACTATTGAGCCTAGAAAGTGTGGGTAGTTTTCTGGTCATGATTTGAGGTGTGCAGGGAGATTGTCAGATCAAAACCACCACGACCCTCTCCTGAGCCTTCCTCCCCTGCCTGAATTTCCACTACCTACGTCAGCCCTTTATTTTAAGATCTTGCCATCACAACATCAGTCGGTGCCAACAGACATTTATGGGGTAGCTGCTATGTGTAGAATTCTCTGCCAGGCACTGCACAGTTTTTCCCAAGGGCCTTAGTTAAAGTCACTGTTAGTTACTGGGATGTTACCCACCCCTTACTAGCATATCAGAGGCTGTTAGCTTAACGACTAACACTTGGAGAGGATGAGACAAGACAAATAAGCTTTGATTATTACGGTGGTTTGGTTATTAGAAGATACAGCCATGGTATCATGCCTTGATTTACAAGACAGTCATATATATACGCAACTCCTCCCCTCTCTTGCTTCTGAAGTAAAATCCCACTTTAAATAGCCTAGTGAAGGCCCACATGTAAATATGGAGAAGCCTTGACCACGTGAAATTCATCCACTTGTCAAGTATTTACTGAGCAAGTTCTAGAGACCGTGCTCTGTTCTAAGGACTGAGGAAGCACCAGGGACAGTGACAGACTGCTGGCCTTTCGGAATTTAGGTGCAAGCAACAAGCCATACAAGTCGGTCCACTGCTGATGTAAAATTCCATAAAACGAGACTTAGGCAATGGGATCTTCAGAGTGGAGCCTATAACCGCCCAGGACATACTTGAAGCTCATGGCACGGGTTCCAAGGGCAGGCTCCTCGGAGGCCAAACTCAAAGGGAAACCACAGGCTCACACCTTTCAAGTGAGTCAGACCTGTCTTTCAGGGGGAGATCTCTGAAGTCATTGTGAAAGCGCTCCAGCCAGCGATTCTCCTGCTGTGAGCTCTTCTCATCGTGGAGTGAGTGGTGAGACCCAGGTGGTTTTGTTACGCAGGAAAGTTGTTCTCATCCAGGTGAGGAGGGGCCTTGAGGGCTCTAGCAAGAAACTCAGCATGCTGTGTGGACTCAGACCGGCCACCTGGCTTTAGTTCAGTCCCAGATTGCATGCATGACCCCGAGTAAACTCTTGGGCCTCTCTGACCCTCTGTCTCCTCCTCTAAGGCTAACTACACACATGTCAACGTGATCCTGTCAAATGCCCTCACTGACATTCGTTGCCCTTGTTCTCTATGAAAAGAAAGCAGTGGCTAAGGAAGAAGACGGGGCAACTGTGATGAGCAGAGCCGTTCACTTAGGGCTTTCTGTCACTTTCTCGTTTAATTGGTAAAGATCTGGAATCTTAATGCCATCATTGCCGCTTTACTGATGAGGTCAGTAGCCTGGGTCCAACCAGACAGAAACCCACAGGCCACACAGAGGCGTGTGGAGGGGTTGGATGTGGGCGCAGGCAGGAGGCCCTCTGAGCGGGCTGGCTGCGCGGAGCTGTGGTCTGAGTAGAGGCCGCAGGAAGGCGGTCACTAGGCCAAGGCTGCAAGGCCACAGGAGGACCACACACCCATGTCCCCTCAACCAGCACTGGAAGTGACAGGAGTCCTCTTCGCTCCTGCACCCCCCCACACTGAGAAGCCTTCACATCGCGCTTGCTTTAAGGGAAAAGTGATGACTGAAATTTTGTGATCGCTAAGCATGCTCTGAAGGCGCATTGGAACTGAGAGGCATAAACCGAGAACTGGCAGTGTGAGGTCCCTCGTGCCCCAGGTTAGAATCTCCCCAGGGCCCCACGGTCAATGGCAGAACAAGGGCTTAAAGCCAAGTCTGTCTGACTTTAAAGCCCTTTAATTCAGGTTTTCTAATAAAAGTTAAAGCTGAACCCCACCCAAGGGCTGGGAATACCCCCTACTTTAAACCCAGAACTTCTGAGCTCCCAAGCCACTTTGGGGATAAGACTAAATGGCCCTTACTCCTTAACATGACCATTTATCAGCTTCCTCCCAAGCTCTAAGGGCAGGGCTGTGTTACTCTTTGAATTTTCAGAACCTTAGCATATAGTAGGGACTCAAGTAATAGCGCTGAGTGAATAAACAACATATGAATGAATCCAACAAGGGGGAGGGTGGACCAGACTTGGTAACACTTGCAAGCCTGTTTTCGAAAGCAGCTTTAGGCTTGAAAATTTACAGTCTGCTTACATAGAGGTCTCCAAACCCCATCCCTATCCAACACACCCCTGATTCTACACATTGTTTCTATCTGTTGGCTTTTCCAAATTCTGCCTCTTAAGTGTGTCTCCCATGGATCCATGGAAGGTGCGTGGCCTCTTCACCCACCCTACGATCTTCAGGGTAATCCAAATCATTAGTGGGAGTGTCCCGGATGCCACCAAGTGCATGACACCAGTCTGAGTATCTAACAATAGAAAGTGGTGTGAGAGAAGATCCCTCTTCTCAGGTAGCTTATAATCCAGCAGAAGAGACAAGATGTACGTGGAAAAGAAACAGCAATTCTTGACACACTGTGCTAACGGCCAAGTGGATGGAATCGAACAAACAGGGCTGCTCCAGGAGTGGAAGGGAGGTCAACACCAAGTCCTCCTCCTCCACTCAATGGATGAGACCCCTGCAGTGCAAAACCCAGAGGTTATTCATATCAATTCTTTAGATAATTCTTGGACATTTCAGTGCAGTCTCAGGAACTTTCCCTACTGATGAAGGCAGACGTGGTAGAGCTGCTGGTTGACTAACTCAATGTCATCCCCAAACCCCCTTCTCCTTTGCCACCTCCAACTAAAGAGGCATAAAAACCACATTCCCTCCCAGCCTCCTGCACAGAAGGGGCCAAGGGGTCCGTTCTGGCTAGTGAGATGTAAGGGGAATTTCACTACGGAACTTCCGGGGAAGCTTTGCTTTCTTTACAAAGTACAGACGTGGTGGGTACCTTACCTACCCACTTCCTTCTTCCTGTGAAGATGTGATGCCTGTGCAACCATCACCTTCCAGGCATGAAGCAACCAGCCTGAGAATGAGAAGCCAACACACTATGGCTGGTGGAGCAGAAAGGACAGGCGTGGGAGCTGGCAAGCATCCTCAAGCCATCGGAACAACACTGAGACCTCCTACCCTAGACTTCTTGGGACGTGAATAACAGAGGTCCTTATGTTTGAGGCTGATAGTGCTTGGTTGTTCTGTTAACTGCAGCTAAAAGCTTTCCTAATGGAGACAAGAGGAGAGAATATGGCTGGGGGTGAAGAACAGGCATGGGTGGTTT